TTGTGCTCAAGTCCCTTCACCAACCTCGTTGCTCTTCTCTGGACCCGCTCCAGCACCTCAATATCCTTCCTGAACTGAGGGGCCCAGAGCTGAACACAATACTCAAGGTGTGGCCTCACCAATGCAGAGTACAGGGGAAGGATCACTTCCTTGCTCCTGTTGGCCACACTGTTCCTGATGCAGGCCAGGATGCCATTGGCCTTCTTGGCCACCTGGGCACACTGCTGGCTCATGTTCAGCCTCCTGTCGATCAACACCCCCAGGTCCCTTTTGTCTTGGTCTTATTGCAAAGGGTGATTGTTATTTTTTACCAATTTTTCTTGCTTTTAAATTGAGCCTGTGTCCCTATGGCTATACCATTGGACTGAGGAACTACAGGCTGTTCCCCTCCACCCTCAAACTAGAGCAGCATTAGTGCCTCATGGGTTGGTAAAGCAGCTGAGAAGCCATGGAAGGAGATGCACCACCTGTAACAGCTTCCTTGTAGCAGTCACCCAGCCCTTGTCATGCCCTTTGCCAGTGTCCCAGGGGTGCCCAAGACTTATTTGCCCTGAACTGCATCAGCTTGGAAGTTAAGACTGAAGATTGCAAATCAAGGTCATAATTATACTTCTTTTCATGAGTGTATCTGAATATTGAACAGAAACCTGAAAAATAATTCTTAATTTCTAGAGATAGAAAGGTAAAGTGGAAAACATTAAAGACTACTCTTGGTGAAGGAAATAAAAGTTACTGATTTCTAACAACTACTTTCTTAATGTAATTTTTTAAAAGTCTCTCACTAAATAATCTGCCCAAGTATTTAATTATACCATTAAGAATTTTTTTTTCCAGATGCCTAATTCTCCCTTGTTAAATGGATTCCTTTTTTTCTGTGGTTTTTTTTGTCCTTTTCTGAGTGGATATATGGGATAATTTATGACCTTGCTTCATATAACAACATTTTACATTTTTGGAGACTGTTATCATTTCTGCAGTTTTCCTTCCTGTGCACTGAGTTCTTCCAGTATCTCCTCAGAGGTCATCTAATTCCTGTGCATCTTTCTGGGATTATTGTACTCCTTTTAAGGAGAAAAATTAGCAGACACAGAAGACCACATATGTCTTTATGGATGGAATAATAAAGTGGCAATGTAATGAATTGGGGTGCTATTTTAGAGTATGTTTAGGTGCAGCTGTTCCTAAACATTGTTTATGTAATGAGACTGGGTTGATACTAAACACTTCAAGAAGTGGGGGTCTGAGAGTGATCCAGTGGCTTCCTGTGTCAAATGTACATCTCATTTAACAGAATAGGTTACTCAAGTGTATTTTGGGGTATATCACAGAGTTCAAAAGGGCAAATTATAAATTAGATGGTCGTAGATAGATAAAGATATTTTTTTTGTTCTGAAACATATTTCCTCCATTTCTGCTTGAGATGAGATCACTGATATTGGTTAATTGCACCTGCCAAATCTCAGAGTTAGATGAAAGATAAGAAGTTTTTCAGGATTTTTACTTTCATAAAAACACTTGAGTAAGTGTTACATCTATGTCTTGTTCTCGCTCTGCAAACATACAGTGCATAATAAGTGTAATAACCCTCCTGGCTGAAGGGGAACAAATGTTTACTTTACTGCCAGGCTGCAGCTGGCTCTGGTGTGGCTTGAGGAGCAGGAGAGTGAAGAAACTGGACCTTCCCTTTTTGGTTTTTTGTTATTGCAAAATGTCCAACTGAGAAGAAAAGGAATTCCTCTTGTCCTCATGTCATATGAGCTTTAGAATAGAACAAGGCTTTTAAAATTCCTGACAAAATGACTACGTACATTTTATATAAATAGGCCACATGTTATAAGGAAACAAAGTCTAAGGCAAGTCAATTCAGGCCAAAGAAAACTTGCTCTTTCTAGGGAAGCTCTTTAGCAGGAGATTCAAAGGCTTATGTTTTTTAAAAAAAAATATTTTCCAGAAAAAGCTGTTGACTTTATCCTTATTGTTAGTATATTTTGTCATCACTTGAAAAAGAAAATTCAGTTAACTTTGCCCTAACATCTGTACCATACATGTCCTTGTAATTTCTAATTTCACAGTTCAATTTCTTCTTATTATTTTAATCCTGTAGACTTTCTCAGGGACCATTGTCTTTCCGCTGAACAGAAAAGCAGGATCAAATCCTGTACTTGGGAAATGCAGTCATCTTGGCAACACACAGGAGATGAAGCCCAATTTTCTTGATATCACATTTTTGCTACAGGTGCTGATCAAATATGTTACTACAGTTCAAATTATATTTTCACATGACAGATTGGTTTTTTGATTTAGAAGCTTTTCTAAACAAAACAAAATATTTCCATGGTAAAAATCTACTGTGATAAAGTTAGGCCTTTACATAGTTATAGGGACAGTCTATAGTGGTCAGGAGAGGAGTGCTGTTTCTCTCAGATTTCCACTTACATGGCTTGAAACCAAACTGATGAGTGCTTACTCTGTGACCTGGTTAAGAAGCAATAAGTGGCATTTCCTGAAATTGTGGCTGACTCTTCTTATGACTATCATGCTACTTCACAAGAACTGACCTGTTTCAACTGACCTTCAAGAAAAAACAGGCATTGTTTTTACGAGGAGCCATTTTTCAATTAGTTTTGGGTGCTGGTCTCCTAGTTGCATTTATGTAGCAATGAAGGTCAGTGTATCAATGGCAAACTCCTGTAGAAGGGCAGAAATTTTTATAATGTCCTACAGAGTGAATTTCACTTAAATCCTCTAAAATTCAGTTCTGTCTCATCTCACACATGAAAATATGAGATTGATATGTTCTCCTGATGGTATTTTTTTCTCTGTGTAGTTAAGGTGTAAGATTTAAAAGCTAGAGCACAATTTCTGTCTTTAGTATCTCACCGTTGATTTGATCCCGTGAGCTCCCCAGCTGTCTCTTACGGAGAGACAGTAGGAAAGCAGTGAGATACAATCTTCTGCGTCCCACCTGCTTTCCTAAGGAAGCACTGGTTGCCCTCAGTGAGAAGCCATTCTTCTTGGAGGGCAAAATTTGTGCTGTGTGGTCTTGTTTTGAAATGTGGCATGTGACACAATGTTTCCTTATTTAGCACTCGGAGCTTTCTATCATCCAGCCTGCAAAGCTGGGGAGGATAAACACTGTCCTTGCTCTCATCATCCAGATTTTGGTGAAGGGAAGAAAAGAAAACAGCATTTGCAATTATGTTCTCCAGGTTCTTGCTTGTTCTTTCTCTTGTTCACAATGGTTTGCAGCTCCCTGGTAAGTGCCCCCTGCTTACTTCCTGTAAAGGTGCCCATGAAAGTGCTTCCAGTCCTCTGGCATTTCTGGGTATCATGGTTCTGGTGCATTGTCTATATGTACATTATTAGTTTGGGGATGGGGAACCTCTTAATGTCAGGCAAAGTGGGCAGGCAAGAGGCAATGGAAGAACCTAATAGAAAAAAAGAAATGGCTAGAGAAGGAGGAAGCAGAGACTCAATTCTTTATGGCTTTATTCATATATAGAGGCACTATCACTTCAATATCTTCAGAAGATCAGATATAAGAAAGTAATTAAATATATTTAAATGTCTATTTTTTATTATTTATTTATTTAATTCTTCACTTCTGTGTTCTGATTTTTGAGCTGTTGGTGTCTGGGTAATGGTTAGCAAAATCAGGCAAAAAACCTTCAGGAGCGGTGAAATGCGAAATTATTTGTAGGACATTTAGATGTTCACAGATGATGGCTGTGCAATCCAGAGAGACTTAATGCTTACAAAGAGGATTATTTTCATTCAGTGTTTTGAACAGACTCACTGAATTCACTGTCATTGCTAAAGTGGATGGAATAAATTTTTTGTGAATTAAAATTGGATTAAATTTAGCAAAGTTATTGTGGAATTGCAGTTGTAACACTACTGCTATCCCTTTAGCTGAAATTCCCTTGTAGGTGTAAACAGATGTCTTCTGCAGAATTGAATGTTTAAGGTTAAATTCTTTTACCTTCTAAGTTCTGAGTAAAACTGTTACAGGTTGTGTCATAGTACATGGTATTTTTTTTTAATCACACGCAGTATCACTGCAGACTAGAATAAGTATTTTCAGTGTACTCTATATTATCAATTAAATTGATTTCAATTTTTTACTGGCTTTTTACTAAAATGTCTTTAACTTTTAAAATACATTTTAGTTCAATATGATGCCTAGTGATCACAAAATGTACCAGGGACCAAAACTGGTTATGAATCCCACAAGCATTTGAAGCTTTACCTTAAAGCCGACACTGTAATCATGATCAGAGAAACTAACTGGAGAGCTAGGGACCCCATTTCTGGTACAGGTGTACCATCTACCTTCCACCAGCCTTTCCACATTGGCAAGCAGTGCCAATCCACTACTCCCCGGTCCTTACTACTTTCTCAGATTGTTACAGGTTTCCCAGTGTCATTCCTGGTTTTATATTCAAGGCCCTCTGGCCTTCTCAGGGATTCCTGTGGGCTCCTTGGTCTTGTATGGTGGAAAGGAAAGCTGGATTTGGGAGTGGGGAGACAAATGTCTCAGCAAAGATGGCTGTGTCCCCTCTAGGACACCTGTGAGATCTGGCAGGGTGAGGAAAGTTTGTATAGGTCAGAGGTCTACAAAGCCATGCATCTGAGGACGGGTGGGAACAGGTTAATGGTAATAGCAGCGTGGTTGAGGGAGTTCTCATGACTGAGAAAAATCAATTCAACAAGCTGTGCTTCTGCTGCTGCTGCTGCTGCCCACCACTGATCCACAGTACGGTGACATACAATCATGACACACGTATTCTATTGTCTACTTTATTAGTTTTCAATCAGCAGAATTGATGTTGCACTGGACTCTTGAAAAACATCATGTTTTTATCTAATGAATGCAATGACTTCCTGTTCATGTGAATGGGAAACAGAATCATATGACATATCCACTATATGTATATTCTACACTAACCATTTACTATGTATTGTTTTGTTTTACAGACACTGGAACATTTTTAATATATAATAAAGTCAACAAGCTCTGTCTTCAGGCATCTGTTACACGTTCAGTTAGAACTGCCACTTGCCATCAAGGCAATGAATCACAAAAGTTCAGGTGGATCACAGATCATCAGCTTATGAGTGTGAAACTGAAATTTTGCCTGGGGGTGCCATTGAAGAAAGATCAGGCTATGGTCACTCTGTATCCATGTAATCAAACAAGTGAGCTCCAGTGGTGGGAATGCAGAAATGAAAGCCTCCTTGCAATCCAAGGAGAAGATTTGTTTTTCAGTCCTGGCAATGAAGAATATGATAACATTTTGTTAAAGAAGGGGCTGAGTGCAAAGAGTCAGTGGAAAATCTATGGGGCCATGGATGTTTTATGTTCCCAGGGATATGAAGGTACAGAAAATTGATTCTTTCATGCTTTGCATTAATTCCTTTCTGAGCGTTAGAGTGTTTCAGATCTTTTTCTCTGACTATTCTGATTCCTTCGGTGACCACCAGAGTTTTAGAAAATCAGTGTACTGAAGGACTTAGCCTTGAATTTAATGTCATATTTATGTCCAAGTGTGTATTATATACACACATTACTTTAGTCTGTGTATTATAGTACATTAGTATTTCAAGTATTTTAAGTATTAATGCCTAAAATCAACTCTAAAAGAAAACCCTTAAGACTCAAACTGTGAGTTTTAGAAGGCAGCATTCCTTTTTATTATGATGTTGGATGGACGAGAATCTAATTTCTTCAAAAGTGTGCATGCCTGAGTAACTAAATGAAAACTCCTTGCTTTTATTTAGTTACCTAATTAACAATTCAAAGCATTACATAATACTGTTACAACCACTTTCAAAACTGTCCCTTCCTCAGTACCACCCTCTCCACATCTCTGACACATGTCCTGAATTTGAGGTGGAGGTCTCAAAAAGACCATCTCTTCATCTTTTCTACATCTTCCTCATCTCCTTTGACACGGTATCATGCCATCTGGAATGGTTTCAAGGCTTCTGAATACTTTGACTGGCTATCAGGTGTTATGTCTCTTTGTCAGTATATTTTCACATCTAAAAAACCCTTTACCTCATTCTGTTGAGACCTTAAAAAAGAATGATAAACAGCATTTAGGAATTTTGTTCAAATTTTGTACAATTTTGTACAAGATATACTAGAAACTTATATAATATAGGTTTTATGGCTACAGTATTATATGTACTCTCCATATATTCTATAAATATATATTATATATTAGTATTTATGTATATGCATACTTATACTGTGTATAAGTATTCTCTGAAGTCACTATTGCTCACCATACTGTGTCATTACATTATTAACAGAGTCTATAAACACTGATAAGTTTCTTATATAGCTACATGGATGTGAAATTACATCCTCGTGAAAGAAGCACAATATGGGTGAGCTGAGAAAGGTCTGGAAGTACCGATGGAGGTGGAGAAGGTGTTGGTTTTGTGACTCAGCAGATGAGGATGCTCATGGAATAATTATAAGCATCAATACAATTACCCTTCGTAATCAGCTGAAGTCTGATTGTTCTGTATGGCTTTCCCACATCCAGAATGAATGTTTGAAAAACCACCCCACAGGATATTTGAAATCTGAACTCTGAACCTTGCATGTGGGAGCTGCTTCACTGTATGTGAGATACCTAAATAGTCACTGGAATAAAACCAAAGATAGATATTGTAACCTGTGTTTACTTTTTTCCATGAATCAGGACTTATAAATATTAGTTCCTTTTCTTGCACATGTAATATAAATCTTAACATTGTTTGAAGTAGAATTATTTTAAAGTGGAGCCTTATTAAGATCGCAAAAGCATCTTGGACCTCATATATTACTTTACATCAGAATAACACTGCTCTAAAACATATGTCATCAGCTTAAGTCTGGAAAAGTGTTGAAATGAATTTTTTTATAGTTATGGGAAAGGAATCATGGAAAGAACTTAGAGATGCAATTCAACCATTAGCTTAGGCTTTACTTTATTTACTCTTCACATTTATTTGCTGTTTTTCATTTAAAGTTATAATTTTGTTTTCTCAGAGACCTTTACACTGCTGGGAAATGCTTTTGGGGCGCCCTGTGTGTTCCCTTTCATGTACAAGGAGCAGTGGTATGCGGAGTGCACGGCCGCCGGCCGGACAGACGGCTGGCTCTGGTGTGCAACCACTGCTGACTATGACACAGACCAGCGATATGGATTCTGCCCATCAAAAGGTAAGTTACCTCTTCCCACACGGTTCCCCTCTGCATTGGCAAACCAGCACTAGCAGAATACGGCTACCTTTATAATAACTTACAGCTTACAAAGATTTTTTTTTAATATTGATGTATTGCTGCACCCTGCAGTTCTCTATGTAAGGAAATATCATTTTGCATAAAGATGTGGGAAAAAATGTGATTGCAGAGTAAAACAGCATGCACTTCCCACTAATTGTGGAGGTGTTGCTGAGCAACACAATAATTTTGAGACCCTCACTGTGTCCCAGCCGGGATGTGTGCTGTCACCATTGTACAACCCTTCTCTGAGGGACTCCCATTGTGATGGATGTGGGCACAAAAATGAGCACTGTAGAAAAATTAATGATGAAGTTAATGTTTTGATCTGCATGACTTTCATGTGAATATTTTTTTTACTAAAGTGGAATGTGTCCTTTTATCCATGCTGTTAAGCCCTATTCATATTGCCTGAGAAGTAGTCTTTCCACCCTTTTTGACATCTGCCTGGCGTTTCTTTGCAACTTCAATCACTTTCTTCCAGTTCTATGATCACTTCCCTCTCCATCTCCCTTTATGGCCTTATTCTTGGCAGGGGAGCTTTGCATTCACAATGATGAAGTCTCCACCTGACACATCTCTTATTTCCCCTGTATTCCTCCCCATTACTCCTGTTACATGTTATGTCTTTTATTATTAGAATGGTCCTTTACTCCAGTTGATACAAAATGGTCTTCTGGTGTGGTACAAATCCCTAGTCAAATATGTTTTCCAGGTTGCTGCAAGGACACCATTGCTGTGTGACAGACATACCCAGAAACTCTTCACAAGGGGATGGGATTTATCTAAGAACTGTTTTGATGCTAAATTTAGGTCTAGAGCTGGTTCTTATGGCTCTCAGTGGGAACTGCTGTCCAGAGAGAGAAGAAGAGGTTGCACATCTTTTTAGAGTTTTCATGTAGGATTTCTGCCACAGCACTACCTACAATATATTTTCCTATGCAATCACTTCCCTTGTGGTAATTCCTGAATTATGTATCTTCATGGAACAGGAGGCAGTTATAGGCCAGCTTTACCTGTCAGTTTGCTGGCCTTAATTTTGTCCTTCCCGATCTGCTTGTAATGTTTTCAGTGCTCTTGGAAGAACTGACCAGGTCACGCTTAAGGAGAATGCCATGCAGAATGAGAACCTGCAACTCATTTTTCTGTTGCCAAGTTACTACAACACCCAATGTAATTATTTTCTCCACAGATAAAGACAGTACCTGGACTACAGACCCGTTGACAAATGTCCACTACCAAATAAACTCTGACTCGGCTCTCACGTGGCACCAAGCCAGGAGGAGCTGTCAGCAGCAAAATGCAGAACTATTGAGTATCACAGACATTCATGAACAAACATACCTTAAGGGTAAGGCAGCAAAGAAAGCCCTGAGTTAGATTCAGGATCTGTTCAGTCCATCATAACAGCTAAGCATTATTTAGTATGATTTTGGCCGTTGTCTTTGGACCTAAATATGTCTGGGCAAAAAACCAAAATCTTTTAGAATTTGCAAGTTCACATCAAAATTGCTGCTAAGTGTATGAAGAATTCAAAGTATTCCGGCATCCTTCAAGTGTAACAGTTTGACTTCTTGTTTAAAAATGTTATCTTATATTAAAACTTCACTAAAATTTTTTTTGATGGGGGAAAGGAATCTAAAAAGTAAATTAAAATTTCACTTTTTGTCAAAAAGAAAGTTTAAAAAAAATTGAAAATAAAAAAGATATATCTTTATGACAAAAGAAATATGTTTTTTTGTATAAAATGCAGTTTAACTTTTGTTTTTTTAAGTGACTTGGCAAAGAAAAATATCAATTATTCATAGATCCTAAATTGCAGCTTTACCTATCCGTATATTGCTGAAGGAATAGTATGGAAAAAACTATCTGTTGTTATTTTTAAGGATGAATTTAACTTCTAAGACATTTATTATTATTTTTTATATTTACACGGTACCAATATTTCTACTTAAATAAATGTTGTACTTAAATAAATGTGTAGCATTTAGCCTATTCTACAGAAATAATTTCATTTTGGATATTCTCTGTGCATATCATCTGGTCTCATTTTACATTAGTGAGAGAATAAGAGAAGGGGATTCTCTTTGTTTATTTTTTACAGTACTCAAAGCTTTGGCATTTTTCAATTTATCAAGAACTTCAGTATCTGCAAATATTTGTAGTTAGATATTTAATAACTGCAAGTCTTCCGAGAGACATTGTTAGTGACTGTTAATAATATGAAAGTGTTTTACAAATTAGTGTATCTTCGTTTTGTTACTTAGAATTAACTGAAGGTACAGATTCTGCACTGTGGATTGGACTCAACAGACTGGACTTGAGGAGTGGATGGGAGTGGATTGGAAGCAGCCCTTTCCAATACTTAAACTGGGCTCCAGGTATATATGACTTTGTTTGATTTTGTACTTGCAAAGAGAAAAAATATATATCTCAAATGCTGCTGTAAATTTTATTCTCAGATAGATATGCCACGAGACAAGGATTTTAGCTTTTCTTGCTTTAGCTTTAGAAAAATCTCCTTTTCTATAGCAGTATAAGCCAGAAACTATTGCAAAAAATATTTTAGCTGTGAAAGCCACATTGCCTGTCCCTAAAATATTTGATTTTCTATTGCTTGACTCCAGCCACAAAACTATGAGGAGTTTACATGTTCATATCCACTTACATAACTTACATACTACATTTCATACAGACATGCCCATTACCAGAGGCCTACCTCAACTCTTACCAAAGCTGGGAAAGGCATGACCTTTGGAGCTCTGACTTCATCCAGGAGTTATTTGTCCGTGCATTTTACAGCTTAGAGTTCTATTTGCCTTTCAGAAAAGTTCACTTTTTCTTTTTCCTATACTTTTCCCAAAGGAAGCCCCTCTCCAGAATCTGGAAAAATTTGTGCGGTTTTGAATCCTGAAACAAAAGCTAAATGGCAAAATTGGGAATGTGATCAGAAACTTGGTTACATTTGTAAGAAAAAGAACTTTACCTTGGTTCCTTCAGGTATGTTGATGTATGTTGATAATTGGAGTAGAAGCTGTTACCTGAATCACTTGGCATTCATATTGCAATGATGAGCAGGAGAATTTTATTAGAAATAGAAACTATTTCTTGTTTATCTGGTTTACTCTTTACAACCATTATACCCTTTGTAGTCTGATCTCCAGTCCCATGGCACACAGAATGAAACAGATAAAAGTGAAGAATGTCCAGCTAGTCCCTTCTGTCTATGTTTCGATGTTCAGGTCTCCCCCTTGAATACATACACTGCTGACCATCAAAGGGGAGAACAAACCAAAAATTATTTTTCAGAAGAGGGACAATAGTAAAAATCAGCAAAAGGAAGAAAGATGGAGAACTTACCGTGTGGCTCTAAGTCCTTCTCTACAACTTGTCAACCAGCTTAGCAAGCTCACAGGTCTCTGCAGAAGTGATGGAAGATCCACACCAACGAAGATCGATACATTGAAATGAGAAAAGATATTTTAAGTGTATAAAGATTTCCCTGTTGGTGTGATCCCGTGTGTGCACCCGGCTATAAATCTGTCTCGATGACTCTTACTCTATCAATATACTTAATCCTTTAAAAATTCATAAGCCTTCTGTGTTAAGCGCAGATAATGTCTGATTTGTCTGACAAATACTAAGTAATACAGAAGGTGGTGAAACTAATAGATTAGTGTATTTGTTATAGACATTTGACTGACCTTAGAAATTGTATTAAATACTATTTGTATTAAAAATCTTTCATTTTCCGAGTTAAAATTGCCATATTCATAATCACATTTATGTTTACTATGTTTTGTGTCCATCATTTCCTTATAATGAGAATTTAAAAAAAAAATTCTTAGTTTAGAACTTTTGCACAGATTAAGTGAAAACATTTTCAGTGTCATGTCCCTTGCATGGCAATTGAACTCCTCTAAAGCCCTGATATTTGTTCCTAGGTGATGTTGGGCCTGTTACTTGCCCAGGTGGGTGGGTGCCATATGTAGATCACTGTTACAAGATCTTCAGGGAGAGCAAAGGATGGGAAGCAGCTTTGACCTCTTGTCAGAAGCAAGGGAGTCACCTGGCCAGCATCCGAAACCTTGAGGAGCACAGCTTTGTGGTATCTCGGCTTGGGTACAGTGAGTGTTTCCAGGGTGTCTTTTGCCTTTTTCTGCATGTATGGAACACCAGACAGTATTTTAAAATCTGACCAGTGCAACAGAACCTAAAAAGTAACTACTATTCACACAGTTCTATCATACCACTATGATGTATTAACATTAGGCTGGTAATTTACTCCCACTGCTATGAGGAAGAGGAGCCAGATTTTTTCATCTAGTGCAGGGATTTCTTTACAGCCTAATTTTCCAAAGCATACTGTCTTAATTTTAATATCCATGTCAAAATATTAGTTTATAAAATGATCATAAAACACGCTAAATAATTGTCTGCTTCATAAATTTACAAAAGGAATTATATGTCCAAAGCTTAATGGCACTGTGAAAGGGTTGCGGTGGCATAAGAGGTCTTATTTAGTTCTCTTTCCAAAGTCTTATCTAGTTCTCTGTTTCCACCGTTTAGAACCAACAGACAAGCTATGGATTGGGCTGAACGACCGTAAGGTTCAAATGTATTTTGAATGGACTGATGGTACCCCAGTGACATACACAAAATGGCACCTGGGAGAGCCATCCACCACAAACAACAGGCCAGAAGATTGTGTACTGGTCAAAGGCCAGGTGACATTACCCAATACATATTTTACCTCCACATTTAAACTAAAATCTTAATAAAAGTCTAAAGTGCTCTACTATTTCAGAAAAGAGCTAAGGCTGAAAGAAGGGATGTAGGGGGAAGAGGATGAGATTAAATATGATCTTTCAAAAAAAACCCAAAAGAAAGCATTATTGCGACATTGGTGAAATCTTCTCTTTAAGTACATCTGAAAGTCAAAAGTTAAATGATTAGGGCTATAAAACAGGTCTCTGAAGGTAATTTGAGCACATTCTTTCATTTTCCTCTGGTGATAATGGTGGCATGTGGGGATCCATGATTCCTGCTGGCTCCTCTGTGCCTGCTCACTTGCTATCTCATGGCGCAACTGTTTGTGCAGGGCCCTGCAGAAGAGGGGACACATTTTATGCACCCTCCTCCCTTCCTATCAACATGAGCTGTGGCTGTACTGCTATAGCCCAGTCTATATTTTTCTGAATATGAACAGATTTGGTTTTGTTATCATCTAGGGAAATTGGATAAGGAAAAAAAACCACTTCTGTTTACAAAATGAGAAGAGAAAGAAAATTAATAGTTTCAATTATAAAGAAACACATTATTCATCTTCTTTAAATTATTCACCTTTATCTCCTTCTTATTGCAAACTTTTTCGTGCCACAGGATGGCTATTGGGCAGACTCTGTCTGTGAGAAGAGAGCTGGCTACATTTGTAAAAGAAAGGCAATAGCTAATGAAAAGGAAATTACTGATGCAGGTTGCAAAAATGTAAGTATATGAGAATGGAACATCAGTTTCTCAGATAAAATAATTACCTTATCTTGAATCACCTAGAATTGTTTGAATTGTGTATATTATTTATGTAGAATGGATTTTTTTGTTTTAATTTGTTATGAAGTTTCTCCCTCTCTCAGTTATATTAAACTTTAGATAGCAGTTTACAAAAGCTGCTTAGAAGGAATCTGCGATTTCACTGCAAAAAGTATCTAAGTCATAATATTCATGATTATTGGGCTTAATTCATTTTAAATAATGATACACGATAATACATGATATCACTATTATCTAAAATTTGAATGGAAATCCTAAAATCTTGTTACAGGGCTGGAGCAGGTATGGGACCTACTGTTATTTTATTGGACATGTTCCAGCAACATTTTCAGAAGCAAACACCACTTGCGAAGGAGAAGAAGGTTATTTGGCCACAGTTGAAAGTAGGTATGATAATGACTTTTCCTTGACTTTTAAATAGGTAAAGGTTGTATCATATGAAATATTCAAAAGCTAACACAACGTCAAACAGCAGATTATCTAAGTAAGAGATGAGGTCTCTAGTTGAACAACAAAAAAGTCTTGCTTTTCTTGTTGTTTGTATGGAATCAGAATCCTATCATAAGATCTTCTCCCCCAGTCTGAAGCAAGGAAAAGGAAAAAAGAATTCATCATCATATTAGGCAAGTAGGATTTGGATAAATGTTTTCACTTGTGTCTTTATGATCCCTTTTACAGGTATGAGCAAGCCTATCTGACTAGCCTTGTTGGGCTGAGGCCTGAGAAATATTTCTGGCTTGGCCTCTCTGATGTCGAGAACCAAGGCACTTTCAGGTGGGCCGATGGTGAAGCGGCCTCCTTCACGCACTGGGATGCAGGAATGCCTGGTAGGTGCTGGGATGGTGGATGGTAGCTGCTCTCTGAGGTCATGGTCCCTATTTGGGTTTGAGTTGGTGATGTCCTCTGAATTTTATGCTTTAAACTTTCAGTATCTTTTACAATATCTGGCAGTTCTCAAATTCCGTCTTTTAATTTCAAAGGGAAAAAATTGAACTGCAGTTTTATATTAGGACATCTGATGTATTTACCCATAAGATTAATCTTTTGGCCTATCTTCACAGGGATATAACAGGAGTTAAAAACAGGTCCTGAGACTATTCTACTCTCATTCCTCTAGTAGAAAAGTTAGCCTGGGAGAAGAATCAGAAAAAGAGCAACTGTGATAAGGAATTTAAGTTGAGAATTACAAATTCATAGTATCAGAAATCATCGTACCATCATTATTTTTATTTGTGATACTAAGAAAACTATATTCATGGGTTCATACTGTGCAGAAACACAGAAAACAAGATTTCACAATGCCATAGGGGAATTTGCTCTCAGTGATCCTTTGTCTGAAAACTTTCTTGAAAACCTTCAGTGAGGTTACAAAATATAAAATAAAAATAATAAAAAATTACAAAATACATAGACTAATAAAACTTCAGTACTAAACACGGCTGCAAAAGCATCCAGCAGCTGTTAAGATTATGTTAAATGAACTGTTCATTTTAATGTGTTAAAGCTGCCTTGTTAAAGCTGAGGGGTGCAAAAAGACAAATTTGGTGCAAAAAGACAAATCAACGTTTAAAACGGTTCCAGAACATATGAGGAAATACAGACCAGTGAGTCATTAGTAAATTAGCTGAATCTGTAATAAAGAAGATATAGTGGGAAAGATACATAAAATTGCTTCTGTAAAGGAAGTCATGCTCACAGATCTCCTGGAGCTTCCCACAGGAGCCAAAAGCATATGAATAAGGGAAATTTAGTCAGAGTGGTCTCTCTGAATTACCAAAAACCTTTCAGATAATTTGACCTAACACAGAGAAGCTCTTACATAAATAAATATTTTGATTAAAAGGCACTGAGTTGAAGGTGGATTTTTTTATAAGGTCTATTTTTTATTGGAAAGAGTGCTCATTAATGACCTGTGTAATGTAAGTAGAAATGAGGTTGTCACTCAAAACCACAGGATTTTACTGTAACACCCCCCCCTTACTTTCTACCCATAGAATTAATTATGCAGGACATTCAAAATAAAAAAAAAGAAAGGCAGGATCTTGAAAGGATCATGGCCTCCTCAAAAAAAATACTAGTCTGCCTGTGTGAAAAATACCTAAAATATAACTTCGCTTTTCAAATGCTATTATGTGGCAAGAAGTGAATGACTGCTGCTCAAAGATTTTAGCAAAGAATTAAACAATTCACACTTTATAAAATATCCAACATTTGTTTTGGTTTGTTTTTTTTTTTCTCATAAAGGAAGTAGTCCAGGATGTGTAGCCATGAGAACTGGAACTGCGGCTGGATTATGGGATGTTCTGGACTGTGAGACAAAGCAAAAATATATCTGTAAGCAGTGGGCAAAGGGTGCAACAATTCCACCTATTACAACTACTGCTCTGGTGCCCACATGCCCTGAAGGTTGGATATCAAACAACCATAGAAGTTCCTGTTTTAAAGTAAGTGCCTATGTATTTATAAGAAGAAGGACTTTGAACTCCTTAGTTTGGAGAAAAAAATAAATAAGAAAGAAAGAAAAATTAACTGATATCTTTGTTTTGCAATATCTGAAGTTGGAATATAGCAAATCCCAAATCCCCAAAGATTCTTCTCAGGGAAGTATCCATAAGATGAGAGAAACTTATGAAGAAAGATGAAATTGAAGGGACTGGACACAAGGGAAGGGAGAAGGGCACAGGAAAGAAAATGAGGAAGTTTGTGCCCCAGGGGTCAAATGAATTGGAGCAGGAAATGGAAGAAAAGGAATATAAATATCAAGGCTCCAGAAAGACATAAAGAAAAGAACAAAAAGAAAAACAAGGGACATTTTCAGATTAAAATTATTGAAAAAACAATGTTGAAATTCTGTATTAAATAGCAGAATCAGCAAAACTTGTCTGTTGGCATTGCTCTTCATATCTGTTGTGGTCACTAGGTTGTACAAAGATCCAGTATTTGTCTGAGATCTGTGAGAGTTTGGGGAATGAAGCAGAGAAACAGTGAGGTATATTCTACAGCAGCACAATGCCTAAGGCTGGACCTTGCTAAAATAAGCACATTACCCCCCGAAATAAACTATAAGAAGTCACACGAAAGGTTAATTAAACCTGTGTTTATGAAGGGCATTTATTTGAGAGTTTGTGATGCAAAGCTACCGATAACTTGGTTTTGAAGTACACTCAGTTGCGTCTGAGCAGGCATAAAAAAAGAGTTTGAACAAGAAATGAGGGTAATTTGCAAACACTGATTTGGGATCATGCAGAGTTGAAATGTGCTAACTTAGTGTGAGATGTTAATATTTCTTATCATTTTATTGAATTAATGAGTTCTTCTCCTTTTGTTATTTTTTTCATTTTTTTTTTTTCAAACTTAGTTGAAATGCTATTTAGTTTTGCTCCTTTATCCTCAAATCATAATTTTAACTTTGGTCAAAGTCATGCTTTTTCTCTCTTAAACTAATTAGACATCATACTGCAAATGTAAAGTGAGAGATGCAAACCACCATGAGGTAATTCTTTTACCTATATCTTCAGACTCCTCTCAGGCCATCTCCATCACAACCCTTTCCATTCATCTATAAGATAAAACAAATTAAAGGGAATTGTATTCAATTCTAGCAATTCCTTCCCTTTTTTTTTTTTGGTCAGCACTACGCTAACTAGGTAGGCAACTCTAGTGCAAAAATTTTATGAACAGAGTAGGTAATGACAGTTCTCTTATGGACTTTCACTTGGCTTGCGTGAAATCTCATTTATGGGTGAGCAAGACTATGAGTCTTTATTTTATTATTATAGCACATGTATGATACATTTTAAAGTAATTTCTCCACAGTGTTTTTGCAGTAATTTCTCCATAGTGTTTTCACAGATCACATACTAATAAGAAATCATGGTTTGAAGCTCGAGATTTTTGCAGACAAATAGGAGGAGATCTGGTCAGCATTAACAGTAAAGAGGAGATACCGTTACTAATAAAAGCAATATAGTGAGTATTTGCTGTATATTTATCTTACCAGATTTAAAAGACTTCTCATATAAACTACTATGAATGATCTTAGATGATTTCTGAAACATATGGATTCCTCAAAAGCCAAAAAACCTCAGATACTTTGAAATGTATCTACTCTTCAGTGTTTTTATCGTTTCCATGAAAAAAAAAAGTTGTTTGTGTCTAGAAAAATTTAAACATCCACCAGTATCATGATTACTAGATAGAATTTAGAAACACATGAAATTGTTGGTATTTTTAGTATGGTTGAAAACATGACCAGTATATCTAGTGTTGACCTACCTTGAAGTAGTCAATGCTGAGACCATGTTCTAAATCTGTGAAGGCCTTCCCTAAGTAAACAGAACATTAGAGAAATACAGGATCAATACTAATATTAAGTCTGATAACTGAGCCATTGCCACTGAACCATTGAAGTGTTACATATTTCTATGAAGAACATATGTATGCCCTTCACCAAAGGTAATAGGGTAATTATTGCAACTTTACTGCTTTTACAATGTGCTCTAGAAAGTTCAGTTATGTATTTCTGTTTGGGTTTTTTGTGTTGATGCTTGTACACTACTCTGCCCTGTAATTTCTCTTAGTGCCTCTCACTGTAGTTTTGAAACTGTTTGGCTCGGTATATTTTCTTTGAATCCAGATGAAGGATTTGCCTGGAGTGATGGTTCTCCAGTGAGTATTTTAATTTTCCATCATATTTGTTTGCTTAAGATATTTTTGGATTTGTACATGTACTTGTTGGGCTTTTGCTGTTGTCCTCATCAAAGAAAACACCAGTCCTGCAAACATTCACATGGCTGTTAGCCTATATTGCTATGACTAATATTGCAGCAAAACATTTTAATATGTGGTAATTATCTGTATCTCATCAGAATCTGTGGCTTTCTGTGCAGCACTCCAACATATTTTCTCTTCTGAGAAGATAATATGAACACAAAATGTCAGAACATACAAATTCATTATGCTGGATCTTGTATCCTGTCTCTGGCAGTGGCCATAAACATCTTAAGAACTAATCAAACAGCAAGTGTGTTTTCCAGTATTATCCAGCATCGTCCAGTAAGCGATAGCTCAGGGTCTTTCAGAACTCGTGCTCAGATCTCTAATCTTAATATATTTATTTCCTTTAATTTATCCAGGCATCTCTTAAGCCCATGCAGATATCCATAGCTGTGGGAAATATTCCTGCAGTAGTTCACTCTTTATTATGCTCTCTCTATTCCTACTCTCTATTTGCTTATTTTATTTTTAACAAAAGTAAGGACTTTCCTCTTATCCTGTTCACATTATTTTCCATAAAAGTTTCAAGAAGCAACCTTATCACAAACTTCTTGAAAATCCCACATAGGTTGTACCAAATGAGTCTCCCTTCCCATTTGGATGTTAATTTCTTCAGAGGTAATTCCACCAGGTTTGTAGGACCTGACTTCCCTCCCAGAAGTCACACTCCCATCTTCATTAACCACAGGAAAGGGAAGAAGTGAATGTTGAATTGATGATGCATGATGTGGTCACTGTCACCAGACAGCTGCTGGACAATGTGTTTTTCAACCAGGTCACAAATGATGAAGTGAAAACTACTCATGCTACGATTAGCATGAGTGTCATGGGGGTAAAGTTCATACTATATGAAATTCAGTAGAAACAGTCCATTTGCTTGTTTCTATTCTCTCTGTGTCTAGGGTTCAAGGCACAAACAAGAGAAAAAGCCCACCATGCCAAGACAGCCTGATCTTCTGATTACTGATATTATTGCCCCACTGTAAAATTCTTATACCTATTGCTTTCCCCACATTTCCACCTCTAGCTAAAACCATAATCTTTCAGATAAACCCAGTTTGTTTCTGTTTGCCAATGAAGAATACAACTACTGAAACAAATGGAAAGAGTAACAAAGCTGATTTCTTCTATAGGTTAGGTACACAAACTGGGATGACAGCTCAAGAAATTCAGGAGGACACAAGTTCTGTGGCTCACTTCGTTTTTCGTCTTCTAAGCAATGGTCTCTTTCGGTCTGTGAAGTACAGCTTGACTGGTTTTGTCAAATAAAACAAGGTAGATTTCTTCTTCTCTTTAGGCAAGAAGCTTAAAAAACTTAAATAAGCAATTATTTCTAAGTTGCTGGAGCAAGACACAAAATTTTGACGAATTGTTTTATGCAAATGGGGAGCATTGAGTAACACATTATAGGTTGTGATTTTTCAATGATAGATGATAAGAATAAATAGATTTATTTTTTGACATAAATTAGGGTGTATAAATGATCCATATGTTTGCAAGGGTTTAATAGATGCAAAGTTTTTTAATATTAAGAAGCATTTGCTTTTATTTTTGTAATGTAGGAGGTAAGGAGTTGTAAAGAGTTATACTGTATTCCTTACAACACTGCTTTTTATACTAACACCAGTAAAGCTAAAAACCAAATACAATATCTTTGTACACCAAGATTTAGTGGTGCTCCAAGTTGTCTTTTCGCATTCTTGAGGATTCAGTTGCTTTTGGAAATACAACAGCACAAAACAGTGTCATTTCTTTTTCTATCACAACCAGAAATAACTCACAGTACGTATACACACACACACCCACCCCCATCCATATATACATATATAAACAAATAAACATATGTATAGAGAGAGTCATATTTCCTTTTGCTTATGAATATTTGGCACTGGAGAATTTTTTGATAGAGCTAAAGTAAATCTAGTGGAAATTATCTCCTTCTTAATAAAAATACCCCTCTGGTGAATTATGGAATGTCTACTGATTGATCAGTAAAGGAGCTGTACCCTAAAGTTTAAAGTGTTTCAGATAGATCTACTCTTACTTACAGACTGGAAGAGCAATTTTTCCTTGCCTTGCTCTGCTAGGGAGTGTGATTTAGTCAAGGCTATGACTTTATTGATGTGAAGCACAGTTTATGATACAAAGTTAAAAGTAGATGACCATGCATATTGCATAATGTGTGGCTAAGCCTGCTTTCCAGTCAGTGGTAAAGGAGTGGAGAATCCTACTCTGTTCCTCACTCTTCTCCTTGAAGTCAGTAACAAGATGCATCATAAAACACGCTACAGAGATGTGCCACACCTTCTATTCTCTTCTTTTTGCAGGAGTGCCATTAAAATCTGAACCAATTGACACATACGGTAGGTCTTTGTGTACATTTATCTTATTATTAATTTTTTTTCCCTAAAATTGTTATTCTAAACTAAGCTTTTGTGTTCTACAGATACAGAATTTAAACGTACGTTATTTATCTTCCAGCATACAAAACCACTGCAGATGGATGGGTCATATATGAAGATAAGCTCTACTATATCAGCAAAGAACAGGTCTCCATGGAAAAAGCCCGAGAGTTTTGCAGGATGAATTCTGCAGACCTAGCTGTTGTTAATAGTAACAGTGAGAGAAGGTTCTTAAAGAGAGCGCTACAAGAAAATGTAAGAATCATTATAAACAGACAGTCTGTTTATAGAAATGCTTGTGACAATCTGCATGTAAAACTTGTCTCAGAAGTAGAGCCATCAGCATTTTCACTAGTGAAATCTCCCAAAATGCACCCTTTGATCCCATGGGATTTGGTCCCTCCTGCTCTGTGCTGTCTGTGCTGAGGCAGTGAGGCAAGCTGTTGGGAAGAGCAATGTGGGAAGGTACCATGTGCTGTCTTGGGAAGCAGCTGGTGTGAGGTCAATTTTAGACAGTGCTGCAGCCTTGGAGAGAGAATGAAAGCAGAATACCAGTTTCTGACTCAAGATCTGCTTCTTTCCTACCCTATCCGAAGGGCCCTCATTGCTGCAGGACTCAGCTCTGATGCCCCAGATAAAAACCTGACTTCTGTGTCTGAGCATATAAATACACTGCTGTGCTGAACTGCAAGCATGTGCTTTATTGCTGTCAACTTCAGTGACTGCTCTGTGAGCCCAATCAAGGGTGTATCCATTTCTGCTTGTTTTACTTCAAAGATTTTTTTTTTAAATTATAATAGTATCTTTCTGCTTTAGGAGCCATACTGGAGAAAGTCAAGTGCATACTTCATTGGTCTAAAAGTAAGCCTTGATAAAAAGTTTAGGTAAGTTAAGATGATCAGTGCAGCTTTTAACATGTAGAAAGAAATACAATATTTTATGTAGCTGGAGGTACTGAATATGCTATTTTCCAGGTCTGAAGGCAGTTCCACATACTTTGTACAAAGCAAAATGGAATAGTCCTAGGATATTCTGAAGTCCAATAGTTTTCACCAAAAATAAATAGGAAAAGAACCTTTTTTTCTTGAGTAAGCACTTACCCAAAGAAAGGCTTGGCAGCTCTACTCTCCATACATTCTTAATTTTCTTTCAAAGATTTGTCCCATAAATTGGAGTGATACTTCACTATGCTGAATTTTATACCTCTAAACATACACACTTAAAACATTCTCTCTGTCATAGGACCTAGCTTCCTTATGCTTTTTATCTATATGTCCTTCAGAGAGGTCCTTCAGAGGACAATGAGTACAAAAGCTGCTTCTGACAGAGATTGCTAAGGTAGTCTCTGCAAAATCCTGTTCCAGGAGAAAAGTCAGCAGAAGTTTACACTACAGAAACATTATCAAGTATTCTGAAAAAACCTGCACATAAATAAACTCAAAACTAAAGTAAAAGATACTGAAGAGCAGGACACACTGCTTATCTTCCCATCTGCTAGTTAGGACACACATGGGAGGTGAAAAAACATGCTTCTGATGTTGACCTGAAACAGATTAGAGGAGATCTGAATTTAACCTTTCTATTTTAATGCCACTGTTGAATGTCTGTAAATCACTAACAGAGTGTTAGTATGTAAAAGAGGAGTGGGGAGAGATAAGTTGATAGTGACTGGGTCAATACATGATTCTAACCTGATATAGTAGACAAATTAGGGAGATGTGGCATTCCTTGGGTTCAGTGAGCATCTCCTTTATTTAGATCAAGTGTATCAGCAGCAGCAAGAGGTAGATGAAGATGAAGAGCTGAATTTGTTTCCCACTTCAGGCTTACTGACCTAAATTCTGAAATATCAATTAAAATGCAATGCCAACCTCTCCTTCCTTCAGTAGGAATATATTAAAGTACAAAACATGTAAACATAAAGAAAAAATGTCAATTTTGATACTTCAGAAATGGTGGTTTTAAAGCTAACAGAATGTCCACAAGACTCAATAGAGTTTTTTCATCCTTGTTTGCATCTATGAAAACATCAGGAATGCTGAGACTGGGAAGAATAATATTAATTAGGGATACAATGAAATAAGTTAAATAAAATTTTAATATTTTTATCTGTATTATGTATTTTGACTAACTGAAAATGGTTTCTCTCATTAAATGATGTCATATCAATCCTGCCCGTTAACAAAAATGTGCTTGGTGTATTATTTTTCCTATTTTGCACCCAGAAATATTTTGCAGAAATTGCTTCAAATTAGAATAATCAGATAAAGAGAGGAAAATCTTTAACAGTCCTTCCAGTTTTAGCCAGTTCCCATTAATGCTCATGGATATTCTTATTTTTGAGATGTTAATTAGGAGTATCATCTCACAATTGAAGTGTATTATTAAATAACTATTTGCATTTATTTTCTTTAAGCTGGATAGATGGGACTCCAGTAACCTATGTGGCCTGGGCTCCTAATGAACCTAACTTTGCAAATAATGAGGAAAACTGTGTGGTAATGTTGTTAGGGCATGGTAAGTAACAAAGCAAAACTATTAGATTTTACTTGTCTCTGCTTCGATTATAACTGATGCTGCCAAACTTCTGCTGTCAACTGTCACACAGTCTTTGATAGCTGTTTTCTGTAATTGCTTTCCAGTCACAAATCAACACAATGCAGTAACTGTTTGCAGTCATGGGGACCACCAGTAGTGGAAGAGTCTATGTCCTTAGCATGGGGAGATTTCTGTATCATGTGTAATTTAATGCAGATGTCTCTCTCTGGATTTATAAGATTGATATTGCACCTTTTTACAGGGCTTTTCACTAATTCTTTCAGTAGAAAGTTGAATGGCCTGTCTTCTTTCCTCTGAACTTAAGAAAATACTTATAACAGCTACAGGAAATAAGGGAGTTGAAAATAGTCAACTTAAAGGAGTGTTTACAAGTACACTGAAATGTAAATTTCTTGCGAAGTGTAGGGCTAAGTTTTCCTCTTGGCTCTATTTCTGCAATGTAACTGAGGCTAATTGGAATTTAGTATCTAAATATTGATCTCTCAATTTATGTTTTATAAAGAGTTCATTCAGCAATCCCACCTGCAATTCTGCCTTTTTATGAAGACAGAAAGAACAAGATTCACTTTTCTAAACATAGACATATGGTCTGATTGAGATGCATCTTTCCTTTAGTTGTTGATTGAGAAAGGGACAGCTATCCCACCTTCCCCTCCATATCTACCAGTTCCACAGAGATGGTTCAGCATTCCTGGGCTTGTCTCAGACGATGCTGGAAAGTTACATGTGAAGAACTGAACTGGATGACAAGGGAAGCACTAAGATTGAGTTGGCAGTGTCTGAAGTCTCCCTATGGTCAAGTGGAGATCTCACCTCCACAGTCAGCACTGCCTGAGGAGCAGTTCAGTTTACTCAGGTGCAGTATTCAGGTACCTGTGTGTGGGTGATTGTAGCCACCTGCTGCGTTCTAGTTAGCCCATCTAACCGTGTGTTTCCCACAGAAACAGTGCCATATCTGTCAGCTCTCTAAAGGAACTTTGCTTAGCCTCTCAAACAGTGCTAAGCACCTCTGTTTAGACAAACGAATCCTGCCCTATCTCTCTATTGGCCATTACAGTAGCTTAGAAATCTTGACAATTGAAGTATTTTAATCTGCAAACCGAATCCCTAGCTAACATTCTATTAACTTGACATGTTGCTCCCCCCAGGAGAAGGCACATATTTCATAATGTATGTTTGAATACCATACTATGCCCTTAGATTGATCTGGTATTTCCTAAATCATCCATTTCTGATACATTTTCTTTTTAAAGCTGCTTGCTGGTATAGTTCCTCTGCTGCATGCAATGTGATGATGCCATAGCTCAAACAAATTATACATATATATACACCCATAAATAGGTATAGGCACTGTGGAGAGCCCTGAAAGAGTAGCAGAAGGGTCAGGAAGTTCAAATTAAGTACAAAGAGTGCTATATTACAGCTTGAGCTGTCTCATTTGAAGCTGCCATAGTTACTTTGTCTTCAGATCAAGCTGCAGCCTGAAATATAAAATAGAGAAATTTTGTTCTTCTTCTTCTAAAAATAAAAAAAAAAAGCTAAAAAAAGAGAGAAATTATTGTTACAAATACTGTAACATTTTTACTTGTTTATTCAATTTCTTTATTTCAGGCTTGTGGAATGACATAAACTGCGGCTCCTCCAATAAATTTATATGTGAGAAACATAACAGTTCTATTAATTCAACGTTTGCTTCACCACTGCCTCCTGGAGGATGTCCTGAAAGTTGGGTTTTCTTTGGCAACAAGGTGTGTCAACATGTATCTTCAGTAAATTGTGTAAAGGAATGTAACCGAAAAAAAAAATCTTGAAAAAACCCACATTTTTTTATGATTATAATACAAATCTGGAGAGTAATTATCTAGTCAGAACGTGTGACCTGAATGGCTAGGCTTTTTTGGAGCTGACTATATACTTTTAATTTTGTGGAGAAATACAGTAAAAATAGATGTATGCTAAATAGATTCCAGAGTGCATAGTTTGTGGTGGCTTAAAATACACTGTTACTGCTTTAGAAAACCTCTTCTCTCTTCTTTTATATATTTATGATAGAAATGGAAATTTGTAATGGTCAATGAGAGTTTCAGGTGGAAAGATTTGGAGAGAATGTATTTGAGCAATCCCTTTGGCTTGTACAGGGTTGACAAAGCTTTGAGTTCAGAAATATTATGCCAAACTACAATTGTTTTGAGTACAGCTTTTCATTCAGACATGGTCCGGAAGTCCTCATTGCTGTAACTGAAGAATTTGTACCAATTTGAGTTGAAGCTCTGTCTATAAAAGGTTGTTTTGTCTACTTTATGTAGATGTTATTGCATCCTCAAAATGTTAGGTCAATATGCCAGAGGATATTTTATAGCTTTGGCAGGATGAACAGTCGTAGCTACAGTCATTGGAAGCAGAACAAGGCACAGTAGAGATCATTCCCTGCAGCTGTGTCACTCAAAGCCAAATTTTCTTGATTTCAAATGATCCCTCTGTTATTGCAGGAAGAAGGCAGATGAAAATGTGAAAAGGGATTATATACTTGACCTCACTACAATAAGTTCAAATGATGTAGACTCCTGCATTACACCTTGTGCAGAGTGGGGTTGCCTGGGTAGACATACCGACTTTCTACTCTTGAGCTCTGTTACTTATCTTAGCCCTGATTTCTTTTAGGAGAAACGTACATCTCATATGTAATTGGTATTAGTCACATACTACAGTTCAATCTTTGCTAGTTTGAAAGATGTGCTTGCTTTTTTTTCTAGTGTTTCAAAGTATTTTCTTCCAATACAACAAGAAAGCTCATGTGGCATGATGCACGAGATGCTTGTATCAGTCTGGGAGGAAACCTGGCTACCATACCAAATGAACATGTACAAGGTATATGGGCTCTATTGAAAGAAAAATATATTAAGTTCTAGCTGAAGGATCTGCTATACTGTCCACTACAGAATATGGGATTAACTGCTGAAAATTGCTTATCTGCCATGTCAATTTATGGTTTGTTTTAAGTCCAAAGTGCAAAAGAATAGCTAAATTATTACATATAAGAAATAAAGTGTGTTTCTAGATCTTTCAATTGCTCAGTTTTCATGAAACTTCCTATGTGTTTTGAATGTGGTTCCACAGGTATCTCAAACTAATAGAAATCTGTATTTTCTGTCTCTCTCACTGGCAATATGATTTGCTGAAACACTACTTGTGTATACATGGTGGGGAAGGGATGCTTATCTAAATATTTAATTAAAAGGCAGATGGGCTCTTTAGTAGAAAATGTTATCCTTTTAATACAGGCCCAGTTCTGGGCATTTGCACATTTTCCTGGTTTTGGGGAAAGTAAGTCATGATGAGCTTTCCTTAATAAAAAAATCTTTGCTTCCCTTCAGCTTTCCTCTTCTATCATTTGAAGGATGCCACAACTGATGTTTGGATTGGGTTGAACGACATCAACAAGCAGTCCACATTTCTTTGGACGGATGGAAGCACTGTTTCCTACACCAACTGGGTTAATGGTGCCCCAGAACAGAAACAAAGCTACTTTGACTATTATGACTTTGAAAGTTTGACAGATGTCACTGTGGAGGTACAGGAAATTTAAGTAACCTGTATATCTTAGGCAGCTAGATGATTTTCTAAAAGAGAAGTTACAGCAGCAACAACAAGATGCTGAAACAAGTTTTTTTGTAAGCAAAATGGGGCTTAGCAAATCGTCTGATAAAGATTCCAAATACACCCAAAATATTTGGCAAAGTTTCTGAAGAAAAGGGGCTTCATGCCTTCCATCTGACCTGTTACAAAAGAGCAGTTCTGTAAAAGAAGCTGGGAGAGGTTTACATTACATCAGTTCCCCCACAAGCTGCATTATCACAAATTTTAAAGTTGCAACACCAAACACAGAAAAGTTATGATAAACCAAAATTAAGATTGTTCATTCAACAATAATGTCTGTGTATATGTACCATTCCTGGCTAATGTGTTCTCACACTGCTTTACTAGTTTCTGATGCTACAAATTGATATATTCAATGAACTTACTATTTCTCTGCTGAAATTCAATCTCTTTTCCAAAGGAGAGAGTTTCTGAGGAAATGATTGGCAGCTAGACACCCAAGACTTTTAACATCTACCATCAGTCAACTTTCTGATGACTAAAACTTATTTAAATCAGCATAAGGGAGAAACTTGGATTAAATGCTGAAAGACTGCCACGGCCAGACTTGAAATCAGGGGAGTAATAAAGGAAATATTGAAGCATTTAAACATAATGAAGTAAAGGAAATATTTGGTTGTTGCTAAAGATGTCTGATAGTCATAACTTGATAATGACTACAAAGCACCAGCAAAGAGTATCTGCTTTCTACAAGAGAGTCTGCTTCGATTAAATCCAGACTAGTACTTTTAATAATAGTTATTTTGTTTTTCTCCAAGCACATCTACATAATTGTAAATCAGAACTAAGAAGTTATATTATAGGTACCCTAGTCTTTTCTAAGTCATTAAAGGATTCTTAATAAAACTGGTAAGGTAGTTTTTAATTGACTTCTTTCAGACCTTGACTGGCACTGGTAAATGCCTGGTTCAAATTTAAGGGATCACTAATAAATACCAGTTCAAGCTGTTTGGCAAAAACCTAGGAATTTTGAACTAATTACATAGGTGTTCAATGAGCTTCTCTCCTCTCTGCTATTAGGCTTGCAGCAGCAGTACAAGAGCTTCAGCTCACCACCTCCTCATTGCCCTTTTAAATGCCTGTGTATCTTTCCCCCTCCTTCAGACAGATTGTGTGTTTGTCATGAAGTCAGATGGGAAATGGAGGGATGATAGCTGTGACAACGACAGAGGCTACATATGCCAGATGAATTCACGTGAGTTCTGTTCAACCCAGTCTCCTAACCAGAAAGAGTATCTTAGTTAGATAAGCTGAATAAACCAATGCGATTTCTTCCAGCTTTGTCTCATTCTTTCAGAACTCTACCACTCTTAAGGCAGTACTATGTTTAGAGTATAATTTGTTCCACAGAAAGTGCTGAAGAGGAATCACTGTCTTAACAGGGGTTTTGTACCTAATTATGAATAATACTAGATAATAATAATAAATGAAAATGAATTTCTTCTCTTTGAAATATGACGGTTATAGGCATCCTGTTTAAATGCATGTGCAAATCTGTGTTCTTACAGTGATCTTCCCATTCTCCTGGCTGTCTCTGAGCAGAGCACTTAATCCTCTCTTAACATTTCTACTGAATGCCATATGATGTCAATTAAAATGTACAGCTTCTTCAATGTGTCTTTATTGTAGAAGAATATTGTTATTTTTCTTACAACAAATGAGTAATGAATGTTGACTTTCCTCCTCTAGAAATGTAATTATAAAAATCCCAGTTGTCCAATCATATAATGGGAGTAGAGAAGGCAAAGCACAGATAGCAGAACAGTTTTGCCAAACATTCTTGCCTCAAATTTATTACAGCTTCAGAAAAAATTATTCCCTGACCCCTCACTTCAATTAACTCCCGCAGCCTGTTCACTCAGCACAGATAACTTGCTTGTGAGAGGACCCCTTCCCTGCACAGCAAATGTGTAGTTTTATGGAGGCATTTTTAATTTGCTTAATCTCAGTTACAGCTCTTCTGAATATACTTACGATCTCAAGGGTGGAAATACACATTGCCTAACTCAAACATGCAGGCAACATTCTGGTGCTCCTTACAGACAGGCCAACAACTCGGAGTCAGTAACGAGTGGCGATCAATTAACATCAGGCATCAGCGTCTCAGGTGGAGACTGCAGAGTACAACAGATAGTGACTTAAATGCCTTACCCTAAGTCCTCTCCACCAGTGATCTGAAATAGGTGTATACTCAGGCATCCAGATTTAGTCAAATATCTGAAAGCACAGAAGCTCAAATATCCAATTTAGGAGACAGTCTGGGCCAGTCAAATCATTAGCAAGCATACTCTCTACTTCATTTCATCTAGGATTTCACTCAGCTTATTACATTAATCAGTTTGATCCATGTTTTAAAAGTTTGGTTTGGATTGTTTTGTTAGTTTGTTTTGTTTTGTTTTGTTTTGCTTTTTAATTTAGGTGTTTTGTTTTGTTTTATTCATGAGTTTAAATAAAGATTTTGACTTACTGACTAGACCTTTTAACCAATTTTTTTTTTTTAGCTTCCATGATAGACAACAATATATTGTAAATTCATGCATTTAGTTTTTCTTCTGTAGTTCCCACAGAGCCTGAAGTACCAACAACAAACCCACCCTCTGGCTTTGCCCATTATGGTGGCAGTAGCTATTCAATCATTTCATCTGAAATGCAATGGGAAGAGGCCAGAAAAAATTGTCAAGACAAATCTGCAGAACTTGCCAGAATTTCAGATGCCTACATCCATTCATTCCTGTGGATCCAGATGTTGAAATATGGAAAACCCGTATGGATTGGTCTTCATAGCAATATGGTAAGTGCTAGATAGATGGGAGATGCGGGTGCTTGGTGAGCTCTCCTGCTCTTTATAGTCCTCTGGATGACCAGTCTATAACAGTGATGAAACAACTGTATCCTGCATGGCTTTACTGTGCAAATGCATAAAAATCTAGTGGTGCTGTTAGAGTTAGTCAAGGACTTTCACCCACCAAATGGGTTGAAGAATCACAGAAAAGGTTACACAAGAAGCAAAGGATGAAAGTAGAAAGTTCTAGAAACAATAAAAGAAATCAAGGCACAGACTGAGTCACAAACCAGAATGTGCAGCTGTCATAAAGTGCCTATTAGCTGTTCTGAAAGTCAAACTCCCTGCTATACAGAGGGCAACTTATAGCTATTATTATATTAATAAAAGTTATTATGAGTATTAGAGAGATATTTTAAAATTTAAGCTGGCTGTTTAATGTCAAGTAATCTTTATTCACCAAATAGCTCCCAGTTTTATTTTAAATAAAGCAGGGCAGAGGGGATGAATTCTCTGTAATTGCTTCTCTTGATATGGGATTTACTAAATGATCTAAGTTGGCCTCATCTGACTTTCTTGCCATGTTGTAAAAGTTTGTGTTACTGCAGAAAAACCCTCTCAAAAGCAATGCAGTGTTGAACACTGTTCATATGTAGTTCTCGTATAACTCGGAGGGACCAGTGACATTGCTTAGAACAGTGATTCTGATTTAAAAAAACAGCATTTTTTGCTGAAAAAATCAAATGAACATAGGATTTTATTTACACTATAACTATGTGTCAGAGCTTTTTATGTTAAAAAAATAAATATCTTAACAGAACTTCTTTGTTTTCAGACTGGTGGCTATTACAAATGGACCAATAACTGGAAAATCAGATACACGAAATGGGCAGCAGGGGAACCAAAGGAGAAAAATGCTTGTGTCTACCTGGATCTTGATGGTACTTGGAAAACAGCATCTTGCAATGAAAGCTACTCTTCAGTTTGCATGATATCAGATGGTAAGCAAAGGCATGTAACAATTTTAGAAACACACTCCTAATTCCACTCGTCTGCCTAATCCTAGAGACTTCACTCTAGCTCAAGCTAACCCTGCAGAGGAGTATGCTTCAGGGTAGCACCTACCTCCCTGCAGAATATGAATGTTTGTTGTTGTATGATGAATGAATTAAGGCACAAGAAAGGCTCTGGTGCAATGGATATGGCTGCACTGCTTTCATGTAGTCATAACTGTTTCCATAAGATGAAGTTCTATTTTATTATAGAATTGTAGAATATGCTGAGTTGAAAGGGACCCATCAGGATCATTGAGTCCAAATCCTAGATCTGCACAGGACAACCCAAGAATCACACCATGTGCCTGAGAGTGTTGTCCAAACCCTTCTTGAACTCTGTCAGGCTTTGTGCCCTTTCCAGTGCCCAACCACCCTCTGGGTGAAAAACCTTTTCCTGGTATCTAACCTAAACATCCCCTGACTCAGCTTCATGATGTTTCTTCAAATCCTGTCACTAGTCACAAGAGTGAAGACATCAGTGCCTGCCCCTCTGCTTCCCCTCGTGAGGATGGTGAAGACCCCAGTGAGGTCTCCCCTCAGTCTCCTCTTCTCCAGGCTGAACAAACCAAGTGACCTCAGCTGTTCCTCATAAGGTTTCCTCTCCAGACCCTTCACCATCCTTGTGGCCCTCCTTTAGATGCTCTCTAATAGCTTAATTTTTTTTTTGCTCCTTCTGAGATGTGACCATAAATCACACAAGTCTGTGTGTGATATAAGTAAGTGCTGGGAATGTGCACTGACTATGTGGACTGCAGGAACTGGGAAAGTTCACACACAGGTGTCACTGAGCCAAAATGCAGGCAAGAGTTTCACTTCCATTCACTAGTACAGTGCTGATACAGGTGCAAGAGACTTGGGAATGTGAATGATATTTCAACTCTTTGCAGATGTATGCAGAGGCATGTTTGTTTCTAGATTTTGTAGAATTGTGTCATTTTCCCTCTAGGTTTTAAGGCTACATAATATAGTCTCTTGCTGATGTGAGATTCATAATAGATTTTGCTACTTGAAAGTGACTTCTGAATTAAACTTTCTACCCATACATTTCATTTGCATATGCCATGCAAGAACCACAGATCCATCAAAATGGGGTTGCACCCATGATCAGAAACAGTCTAATTTGGCAGAGGCATGCTCCACTGATAGCTTTTTTTTGTATAAAGTGACAACATGCAGAGACCAGGCAGCCAAACACCATGAGACTGTGGCATTAATGATTCATTAGCCTATAGCAGCTTTCTATGTTGTGATAACACAAATTTGAGATCTACATCATCCCTCAGGGTTTGTGTTCCTCACAGTGTTGCCAAGGCAGTTAGTTAGATATTGCAGGATGCAATTTGATTCCTTGTCCTAAGAAATGTGATTGGAGAAATAAGATATTTCGCATTTTTACTGCTTGGCTCTCCCCATTGTCTGAACTAGGGGAATGTAGGAAGAGACAAGAGTATAGGTCCAGATAGCTAAAGCTGGGTGAGAGAAATCCCACTGTATTTACACGCTTATCATGGAATCATAGATGATTCATAATGCAATACTAATTTCATACCATATGACTTCTTTAGAGATGGCTCCTACTGATCCTGCTCAGCTGCCTGGAGACTGCTCTGAAGGAGATGAACTCCAGGCTTGGATCCCTTTCCGTGGTCACTGCTACTACTTTGAAGCATCAGCTGAGAGAAGCTGGGCGCTGGCCTCCCTTGAGTGTGCTCGGTTAGGTGAGAGCCTTCATTATCAAATAATAAGATTTGTACAAAAGTTCACACAAAACTCATGTAAAAATATAAAAACATTGATTTAAAAAAATACATTTGAAATAATTTATTTATCTACTAAGCTATTGTAAATCTGGCACAATGAAAATAAACTGACACAAGTGACTTTGTGTGGCCTTCTGTCCTCTCAGGGGCTGCAGCTTTCCCGGGTGTAGACTTCCCCATCAGCCCCTGGCTTCTGGGCATCCTGGAGGCAGCTGTGAGGTGCTACAGACACTGAGCACCTCCAGGTCACTGCCCTCTGAAAGGAGCAATGGAGAGACCAACAGTCTAGCATGCATAACACTGTTGAAAGCTACTGTTTGTGCAGACTTGAAAGCGAAGGTCAGTCCAGTAGTTGCTCATGTAGGTTATGGTTATTTACCTGCTAATGCCTTTCAGATGCTACCTTGGTTTCAGTAGAAAACATGGATGAATCCGACTTTCTGATCCATGCAATTCAGCCACTTGGAAATAAAGAAGGAGGCTTCTGGATAGGACTTTACCAAAATGTGGATGGTAATGTCTAACTTTCAATATTTAGTGGACATGTGCTTTGCTAATATGAGAAAATTGAGGATTACTGTACTACAAAAAATGATATGGCTTTCTGCTGAAAAATGTCCTGCTATAGATCTTTGAGTCAATTGCTGAGCTGAGGAGTTAAAATATTAATGAGATAAATTGTAAGTTTTTGGGTTTTCTACTTCCTATGTTTCTCTGTAGATCAGTGGTTGTGGCTAGATAATGCTGCACTGGACTTTGTTAACTGGGAGGAGAAAGAATTTGATGTGGAGCATCGGTGCGTTGAAATAACTGCACCATCTGGTTATTGGGACAACAGTGATTGCTCTTCTGAGAAAGGATTTATCTGCAAAAAACCCAAAGGTAAGTCCTCAGTGAGTCAGCCCTTAGTGACAGAGCAGATCTGTTTACTAGTAACTGTTACAGCCCTCCACCACGTGTCTGGAAGTAAATTCTGGAAGCTTTGTTTGGCGTATCCCACTTCTCTAACCATTTGTAGTTGCCTGTTTTTGCAGACTGCAAGCTCTTCATGTCACTGTCTGCATTCATATGGGAATAGGGTAACACCCTGTATGTACTCTAAGTTGAGAATGAGACTTTCAGAAACTAATAAAGGCATTGATATGGCATCACTCAAACACCTGTGCAAGGGTATGACTCTTGCAAGAACTATGTGTTGTAGCAGTTGTTATACTCTTGCAGGGAGGAATTACTGTGAATAAACAATTTTCCTCTCCCAGCTTGTTATTCTCAAAAGTGATATTACTATCCAATGTCACAAACTGGCTTCATGTTGGCCCTGGCTCAGCAACCTATAAGTAAAGTTAAATAAGTAGTAATGCCTCAGGGATACTGAAAGGTCATCTGTATTGCAATAATTCCCTTCTAAATGAAAACTTCAAGTCAATACAGAAGCTGTCTTACCAACATTTCTGGAAAATTTCATGCAATACTGTATATGACAGTCTAATATTCCAGAGGTAAAACACTACATGTTATATTCCCAAGTGGAGATACAAAGGAAGTAATTGTCTGAAAGAAAGCACTATCATTCCATTCTCTTCAGTTAGGTATTAAAAATCAATCTGTCTTACCTAAAAAATGGTAGGTTTAAATCTTTAAACCTTTCTACTTTCTTTTGTAGTAGCTGTGAGATCAGGTTTAATTCTCCAACTTTTGCATTTTGTATTGTCCCCATTAAATCGTGAGGAACATCTCTGTCCTATGCCAAAATCACATTTCCTGTGTAAAGGCCATTTTAAGATTCCTTTATTCAGATGGAAAGTTGAAAGGACCTGATTTCAATACTAAAGACATCTCAAGACACAGTGGTTCATGGAAAAATAACTGAAAATTTTGTGTTAGTGTTTACTCATTTTTCAGTGCAGTTTTTAATTAGAAAAACAAACTGAAATGTCACCAAGAAACTGTCATATCCCATGCATTGTTAATTTCTGTGCTTAAATCAGCACATGCCCATGGCAGTCAATTCGTTAATCCCTAGTAAAGATTTACTAAAAACATCCAAATTATATTCCATCATATTCCATTCTAGATAGTACTAAAATAATAAAGCAGCTTTAAAATCCATCCATTGAATCATAAGGTGCAGAATCCTGGTAGACATGCAGATATTCCTAAAATATGCTATGTAAAATTAATCTCCGGAGTGGTACATCATGTTCCTAGTACATTAAAATTAATGTTTCAGGAAAAATATGAAAAGGTATTTTTGAATGAACATAGAAAAGAGTCAGTATTTGAATGTTGGTAGATATAAAAACAATATAAAGTTTTAAAAGAATGAATATTAATAGTTTGGTAATGTTAAGTAGGAAGGTAAAAACCTTAGAAATGTATTTTTTGCCTCATTTATGTTGTCTTTTATAGAAACAATATATGTTATTAATGCAATGGTGTACTTCAGGGGGTTTTGTTCCTGTACTATTTTAGCAAAACAGTCAAACTTACGAATTCTAATAAAGTTTCATATAATTTCTCTCTGATATTCATTGAAGTCGAGCCAAGCAGGAGTCCTATACAGCAAAAAGGTAAGAGCTTTCATAAGAAAATTAACAAAAATCTAAATACAAGAAGAGCTTGAGTTTTCCCAAATCACAGTCTTTTGGACAATAAGTCCTACTGAGAGGGATGCATGATTAGCAGTCATGCAGGGTAATTCCATGATGCCTTTTACATTCACAAGAGCTCTCAGATGTTCCTGGTCAACTGTACTGCCGCAGGGCTGACCCTGAGCTGACAACCTCAGCAGTGACCCAGCTTGTGACTGAGAACAGCTACAGAGTGCTTTAACTAACCTGTTAAAAACTATGTAGATGTACATGCAAATTTCTTCCATAGGTATTATTGTAAATAATGTAACAGAAATATATTGTAAAACTAATTTCCAAATAATTAGCATCCTATATCCAACAAAAGCATACATTTTCATTAAATTCTTACAAGCATCCACTGCATGCATTGTATGTCACTGTAATCCAGATCTACTAAAACCATCTTAGCTTTAGGAACAGAGACCTGGCTACTGATCAGTGACAATTCAGGGCTCAGATTTACAGCCTTCAAGTTCAGACAGGAGAGCCGATCTTCTCCATGTTTTTCATGTTGTATGTAGAACAAAAATTACTATGGTCTCTCACAGTTATATGGATTCATTTCAGGCAAGGAAGAGAATGAAGAGACTCACCCACCTGTTCATGTCTCTGTTTGGTTGCTCATTTTCTTGGCTATTTTAACTCTCCTTGGAGCTGGCATGTCAGCCTATTTCTACAAAAGAAAAAGACAAAACCACCTATCAACAGATCCTGGCAATGAGACGTTATAAAAATGATGTGTCAGTGACTGAAGAATTGGTGAGAATGGGTCCTGTGGCATGTACCAATTCAGAGAAGCGAGTTACTTGCTGAAACTAAAGGATATATCTGTTAAAAGTCTCTAGTGAGACCCTTAAATGAGATCTACTGTAATCTTAAACTAAATCCCTTTTCTCTTTTTGCACTAGCTGATTCTTTTCTATCATGCATATTTTACAAAATCAGAATTATGTATTGATGTTGTAATTTTTGAACAGTCAAATTCTCAAGTGCCTTCTTAAAGACACTAATGCAAAAAAACTTGTAAAAAACAAATACATGAAAAAAGACTATAAAAGTCAACTAGAGAGAATGAAAGTCCAGTCTGAATGCTATTTAGAACTGTATTCCCATGATTTTGTGGACACTGGCAAGAACTCAAAAATTGAATTCATTTTGCCCCACAAAATTCACTACATCAGACCAACCCTTTTATTGTTCCTTATGGCTGCATCCTATTACACTTACAAAACAGTACTTCATATACTTATCTCAAATATCTTTGGGATAGAAAACCTTGTCATTTTCATTTTCTGAAAATACAGAGGAAAATACAGTACATGGTAGCAAAGGATATTAAGCTCAGGTGTAGGCTTTAACCTTTTTTTCAATCCAATAATATGATTGTTTTTATAATGTTCACTAATATGAATTAAAATACTCTCACCCTTGTTCTTGCTTCTTTTTGTTAATTCTTTGAAATAAATAAATAAAATTTTTATTAGTATAATTTTCAGCTTCAGCATTCCCTGTGAATCAAGTGAGGGGAAAGGGGAAGGGAGGTGCTCCTGTTAGCGCAGTAACTCTTTTGTCAGTAACAAGGAGGGCTTCTCTCCCCACCACTTTGAATTCAGCTTGAATAAGCATCAAGTGGCCATTTTTAAATGTGAGAAAAGGGAACTGAAAACTAAGGAATGAAACAGATGATTCTGTACTAGGAATCTGCAAGACGACTAAGTTTAAGATGTCAGAAAAACAGTGGAAAGCAGTACAAAGTAGCTTTTAAGTGAGCTGCAAATACAATTCAGACACTAAACACTTTATGGGAAAGAGTAATTAACACATAGCCCCAAGAAACTTCTTGCCTTCCCCAGGCAGCACAGGGTCTACTGAGCAAGTTGAAAAGTTAAAAAACAAACAAACAAAAAAAAGAAAGAAAGAAAGAAAGAAAAAGTAATGAAGATGCTTTTTTTAGGCACTGAAATCCTGTTTTCTTGGTGTAAATGCAGACAAGAATGTAGCACATTGGTGAGAACAGGTTACTGCACAAGAGTTATGCAGCACACAGGACACTGATCCCGAAAGGTTTGTAATCAGCATCAACCTGGTCGGTCATGTGAAAGGAACAGTTCTGGATTCCTCTTGTAGCCTTCCCCAGTGTCTGCACTAAACTCCCCCATCACTGTAGCCCTGGGGGGAATTGTCACAAGCACCCGTTTAAAGGAGAAGGGGGAAAAACCAGGACCATATTGAGGCTGGTACTTTGCTTTTCAGGTATTTTCCTTGGGATCCCCTTTGTCAGAGCTATTTCATTTTGTTATTTCAAATGTATCTGAAATATGGCTACTCTTGCAAGCCTTCCTCACGCTAAGCCCTCCCTGGCTGTCACCTGCAAATAGAATAGTTATTATTAAACAATTTATTCAATTCCTACTTTTCCTGTAATCTAGACTTTTTTTTTCCCCAGAAATTGTTTTTCTCTCTCACTACTTTCTACAGCCAAGTCAACAAATTTATCCAGTTCTTGCAACAATTTTCCCCAACACCTTAAAAATAAAGCCAAAGATAGTTGCTGCTCCTATGACATCTACTCTTCAGCTTCTATATATATATCTCCCTACTGACTATTTCACTTCTCGATTTTATTTCATTATCACAACTTCTTTTAATTTCACTTATATAAATAAACAGAAGGAACAGCAGGACTTATCTGCATGTGAACTTTCACCAGTGTGGCTTTGCAACATAGTTGTACAAGAATTGCCATGCCAATATGAGTCTTCAGATAAGCACTTTGCTCACAGATTAAAAGGAGTTTTCCCAATATAGCTTGTGTTTGTCTTTGAACAGCCTCATTAGGAATTTCTCAGATAGATAAACACATCCTTTGGCTTGATAAAAGTATTAAAGTGTTCCAGGTAAAAGTTTCCCTTCTGTTATAGGGAGGCTTACCACCATCCTACAGCTTGAAGATAATTTCTTTCAGGTCTTTGACAAGCAGTTATGAACAGCCCAGCCCCAAACTGGGATCAAAGCAATCAGTGTGACAGTGAAAAAATAGCAAATTTAGCCTCAAAGTGAGCAAGAAGTCATAAAGCACTAAATACTGCAGATCCTGTAAAATTTGCCCTTTATTCTAGATATGTAGAGCTGTGACATTATAGCAACATACTGAATTACCAGGGTTTCATCTCCCTTTGTTTCTGAGATGTAAGGGTTAAATCAGAGACAGAGGTTTTTAATCAATGATATTTCACTGCAGGTTTCTTGTCACCAATTCTCAAGTTGCTTTTCCAGGTCTGTCCTGTGTAGCACCTCAGCAACCTACCCGTATATAATACTAGCAATGTCACGGAAGAAGACAAATATCACCACCTCCAGTTACAAGGACAGAGACTTCAGTTTTGGAAGGAACTCTCTCTTCAAAAAGAAGTGTTTACAATATGCCCTAGAGTTATTTCAAAATACCATGTGACAGGACATTTCCTTATTTAGAGTACAGAGCTTTATCCATCAACCCTTTGGCACAGAGAAGGACTCGTTTCTATCCTCATTGAGAAGGATTTTTATTTATTGACAATTTTATAGTCCAACTTTTAGATGAATGAGAAGCAAGCTATCTTTGCAATGAGTTTCTCCAGGTTTCTAGTTTTTCTTTCCCTCATGCATGGTTCATTACAGTTATCAGGTAAGTTTCCTGTTGTTTTTGAGCTAAATAGATATGAAAATGATTTTTCTTGGGAAGCTTGACAGTTTTAATGCATAGATTTTTCATTTTGTACTTGTTATAAGATTTGATACATAATCTAAATAGTATATTGGGTATTATCCTGGCAGTTCTTGATTCACAGAATAAGAGGGGAGGAGTAGGGATGTTGGAGAAAATGGAGGTAATAAGAGCAGGATCTTTAAACTGGAATTTCTTTCTGTAGAAATATTCAATCAGATGGCACTATGTGGGATGGCAAGGAGAGATGAGGAAGCAGGGAGCTTTTTCTGTTTACCATCTCATCACACCTCTCATTGGTGCAGTAAACAATCAAGGGGTTTTAGAGCCATGTTTTCATGATAGCTGGGTAAGTTTCTCTTTCTGCCCCACGACATGAGGTATGAGAAGGAAGATCTGGCTCCTCCCCTCTACTCTGACCAAATTAGAAGAATAGCTCTAGTCTGAAGATGTATAACACTCTTCGGTTATAGCTATAGAGAGACATGGTAAAGCACTAATGTATGTAGAACTGAGTGAAGGAATGAGATTTTGTGAATTTGAGACTGAGAGCGTATATCAGAAATTTCAGGATAAAAGAACAATCCCATGATACTCTGATAGTTTAAAAATATGAAGCACTGTTAACCTTAAAGAATCTGAGTTCAGGGTGAATATGCAAGACCTCTCAAGTGCAGAAATGTTACAACTGAAATTTTTACTGCGTAAATATGCTCATGACTACCTGATCTGTATTCTCTCTGATCAGTTATCCTTTTTCTTTAAACAGTTAATGAATAGATGTAGTAATAGATTGAGCCATGCAGAAAACAACAATGCAGTTCACTCGTTGTCTCAGTTCTACTTGAAGTTTTTCTGTCTTCAGGAACAACAACGTATCTGCAACTTACCACAGAATTTGACTTGCCTACAAGGTGTATATATCAAGTTCTAAACACAGTATATAAACACCTGATTTTACTAAAAGATTTTATTTATAATCTCTAGCTACATCAGGGAGGAAATTATAATAAAAATTAATTAAAAAAATGTGTGACCTCTCAGTTTAGATAGACAGATATACTGATAGATAGATCCATTACCAGGAAGTCAGATTTATGATTTTATTATTATTTTCATAGCCCTATTATTATTTTCTTAACCTTTTCTTCCCACTAGATATGTTTACATTAAAAGGAAATGCCAATGGAAAGCCCTGTGTATTCCCTTTCAAATACAAAGGCAAACAGTACAACGAGTGCACAGATGCTGGTAGGACAGATGGCTGGCTATGGTGTGCAACAACTGCAGATTTTGATGCTGATAAACTTTATGGATTTTGCCCACTAATAAGTAAGTCCTGCATACCATGTTAGAGTAATCTATGGTTCATCTACACACTTTCCTCCTATGACTTCACCCTGGAATCTCATTTTCCCAATCAACAGATACATCTGGTTTACCTAGTTTTGCATTTTAAGTATGAAAAAATTAAAAAACAAATCTTGGAAAAAAATTCACTCCTGTATAAAAACCTAGAAATTTAAAATAATGTTTTAAATTTCAAAAGCATTACACATTTTTAAAAATTGATGCCTAGACTAATTTCATTTTTTTCTGATGCTTACAGTTAACAGTGTGCATCTTTAGATATTTTGCATCATTACACACTTAATTTTCTTTCAGTTGGTGCGATGTGAATCTACTAGAATAGTGCTCTATGTCACTTCTTCTTCCAGATGACACAGAAAGATTTTGGATGGAGGATGTTTCAACTGGCATTCACTATCAGATAAATTCAGAATCAGCTCTAACATGGCACCAGGCAAGGAAAAGCTGTCAGCAGCAAAATGCAGAACTACTAAGCATCACAGAGATTCAGGAGCAAGCATATATAAGAGGTAAAAAGATAGAGAACAAGACCTTAAAATGCTGTGATAAAGTTGACTACTTGGTCATCTGTCTCAGCAAAGACAGGGTGTCAGGAGTGCTTCAGCAGCCACCAGAAGGGGGATGGTCTGAACCGCCCTTCCACCAGGTGGTGGGTTTTTTATGAAAGGTTGGTCACAAACCTCTGTGCGGGGGAAGAGGCCCCATCCCAGCTTTGTGCTCCAGATGGGAGCTCCTGCACCTTCTGCAGTCTGTCCTAGGGGAGGGTTTCTTCTGCTCACCTCTGTGCAAAGGCACTCATTCCTCAGCAGGGCTATGGAGGAGCCTCAAATGTCCTCAAATTACCTTTTTCTTCCATGTTTCAAGGATTATTAATCTTTTCAGAAGATCATATGATGATAGTTAGATTGGTCCTAGTATGGGTACATTTCCATCCTTAAATTCCAAATAATTTCAGTGGATTTCAAATACAGGTATCTATTTGGTTATAAACAGTGTAAAGGAGGCTTTGAAACCACTCACATAGAAAAAAGTCTGGAAGCAATGGATTGACACACTGTTGTCATCTTTTATTCCATGAATATAGTACAATTTAGTACAGTTCCCTGATGAAAATCAGGTATTTTCAGCATCTCTTATGTTGTAATGAAACCAAGTGAAAGAAATAAACTCTTATTTAAGTAGTGAAATAAGATGTTAATTTGCCCTTTTAACTACTGAGACCTTCACTAAATCAATACAGATTCATTTACATATTTTACTTTTTGGAATCTGTGCATCTCAGTAATGCAGAAAGTACTGCTTTGGGGCTGGTTTCAACTAAGAAATATGAATTTCTT